GCTTCGCACACGGGAGTCAAAAACTGATGTAATTCGTTGTCTATCTGAACCACCACCTAGCACCGGTAGCAATACCCTATGACACTATCACGATATAACTACATACATTAAACTGTACAATGTAAATTGGAATCAGGTCGTCAAAAATACATTCTTTTCTCGGGGAAAAAATATGTTTGGGCTATATAGCACCTGCATAGGATAAATAAAAAATGATTGCGCCTGAATGGTTTAAAGCGGGAGTGTCGTCACCTACGCATGCGTCAGGTGCCCGTAGAGTGTCAAAGTTTACAAACAAGCGTCTACCCATGAGCCTTTGCGTTTTGTTTCCCATGTTATCGTCGCTTGGAACTCAATTTCCGCGCGTGCGCAGGTGACGACCTTCCTGCTTTAATATTGAACGTTCAGACACAGACGTTAAATTATTTTCCTAGTTATGCCGGTGAAGCTCATTAGCATAATGACATATTCCGACTCAAGCTGAACAAGGTCGTGAGCCATATTTTGTTAAATAAGTCTATTTTTCATAGCAGCCGATTCGTAATCCCATGACGTTAACAAAATATCGTGGTTGGTTAAAAAATAACAATGTCACCAATGACCAATCGAAAGAGGTTTTCATGATGCACGATGTTCAAACAGATGTGGCCATTGGATCGTCAGCAAGTTCCTTTGTGTCAATTTCTTTCTCGGACGGGGAGTACTTTTCCAGTTTCGGTGGTGGTGCAAGCACAGTTCTCACAATGTACGTTTTTTCGTGTTTTGCTGGTTGTGGTTTCCGATAAAGGCAACATCCACAGCAGACGATAAGTAGAAAGAGAGCCAAAATAGCGCATAGCGTAGAGACAACTTTGTCAAACAGACTCATTCGGCTGAACGGTTCATGAACTGAAATAAATAAATACAAACAAACGTCGTATATAATTGTTTTTGATAATTGCCTGAGACGATATTCATATTGTGCTTTGTTAATCCGCAGGCTGACTTGCACAATCCTAGAACGATGAAATGGGGAAAATTATAGTAGATGTTTGAAGCCCAGAAATATCTACTAAATGATAGAACTAACTGAAATAGGGAAATGGGTTTGTTGTGTCGATAGGTATTATGCGAAATGAAAAAATACTAATTGTTGTGATAATTGGATTATATCACCATTGTGAATAGTTGAGTTAGAAAGCGACACTTTCTTGCAATTTGTGAGAACAGATATTTGTTTGCTACAGTTTATTCTTTATATTATTTTTTTTGCATTCAATTCTTAAGACTTTATTCAAAGTTATAAGTATAAACAGAGGTGCGTTACTTGGGGTTTGCAAATACGGTGACATGATGCCAAGATCCCGTTTCAATCTCGCTCTCGCATAAGCGTTCCAACTCAGAAAAATGTGAATGTGCATGCCCGAGGTAACTAGGATACTGGGATGTCCAGGTACATCAATATAGCTGCTCACGATGTGACGGATTACGATAACTATATTTTCTGTACATTTTTTTTACTATGAATGTGGTAATACATGTTTTATTGTTTTATTACAAACCGCCTATGTCATGTAAGAAGGTCGTAGCGTCAGCCTCGCTATCTACGATAGACTTGAATGGGATCTTGGCATGATGTCACCATACAGTAATATGCGCGTTGTAAACCCCAAGTAATGTACCTCTGGTATAAATATAAAGTATAGTATAAGTTAGAAGTATGAATCTCTCAGACATTTTCGTGATGAATACGACTCGCGCGATGATAACCAGCTGAGCGAGAATAAATCAACCGTTGAATATCACTGATTAAAACACAGTTTCTCAGATAATCGTCTGGTCGACTACCTTTTCCGCCCCATTGACAATTTATTTAGCCCTCGGCCGTGAAATTGAGCAGGGGGCCAGGCCGGTACTCGCCTCCTCAGTCCACAATCGTTTGCCGAGTAATAGCCCTCACCGCCGTCAACTGAATAACGGTTTTGGCAGCAGTGCATTCTGGGACTTACCTATTTTGCTACAGAAATCACTAGATTCGTCCAATCCCGAAGAGCATTCTTCAACACCATTGCATATTCTGTTGGTAGGTAATCTTACACCATCGCACACAAACGGGCAGCCATATTCTGATTTGACAAACAAATATACGAAGAAAATGCGCAGTAAGAATCGCGTCGTCTTGACAACACATAGAAGTGTCAACTCGCCAGCAAAATAATACCGATTCAATACGTAGAAAACCAATAGGAAAAAGATGAACAGTAATTGAATCTAATTAACAGTGATCTACTGCCATGCCTGTCTGGGAACAGTCTGAAGTTGTTTTAGAAGCTTGACATCTGCGTATTTTTTTCATATCCATATCCTAATAAACGAAACTTATTTTGTAGAATACAGTTGTTATATAAGTCGCGCCCTCTGGTGACAAGCGCTTCTGTGACGTATATGTGGGTAAAAGCAATGTCCGTTCAGTGGTGTAGTCGCTCGAAATTTATCTAAAAGCTCGATGGAGCTATATTTATATTTAAGCTGGTACGGGGAAAATGTATTTTCAGATGCGGTAGGCGACCCATATCAAGTTGTATGTTCAATGCATCCGTTTTCTCTGTGATATATTGGCGGCAAACTCAGAGACCACAGGCTCGTTCTACAACGGATTAATGTATGGTTGGACATTTTTAGAAACAAACACCTCACATTTTTAGTTCAGAAATTGAAATCTACTAACACCATTATCGGGGAAACTCTATTGGTTTGTAATGTCTGTGGCTTGTTTTTTAATTATAAAAAATGGCGTAAAAAGAATGTTATATTTAGTAGTGATAGAAACAATAAAAATAGCTTTACTTTTTGTGTATTTATAGTTCTCGTCACTTCCTCCAGGGCAGTTCTTTATACCGTCACACAATAAACCGGTATTAATACACATCGGTACGCTCGTGATGTTTCCAATATCTCGACAATAAAAACAATCGTCTGAAAACAAATATAATGACTGAGAACAAACAACTCAATTGATATGTCTCAATGCTGCATTCTATTTATCTTCCGCCATGCCCCAGAATTTCTGGGTTAGGTACAATATGACCTTACCGATGCCATGAGATTTTCCAGCAAATTATTTTATTTTAGTGCATGATTAAAGCGAGTGGGTCGTTACCTACGCACGCGCGGGAATTGAATCCGAAGTGACGACGCCCGTTTGTAAACAATGACGCGCTATGGCCATCTGACGCATGCGCGGGTGACGACTCCCGCGCTTTAAACATAGGAAAATAAGGTCTGTAATTTGAATGTGTCAGTTTAAAATATAAAATATTGATTTATGCAGGGAATTAAAAATAAATGATACGTGTCAGTTATATTTAATTGTTCTATGATTTATATAAGCGATTTATATAAGCATTACAACTTGGCAGCGGTCCAATTTGATTTGACAGAAGTAGCTATATCGATGTAGTGCGCCATGAACGACAAAAATAACAACAACAACAACAACAACAACAATTTGTTTTGTTTTTACTTGCCTGAATATTTGTCTTTGAAAACTACGAATGACAATGTGAATACAATCGGTCCAATCGTATTGGGCTCAGAACCAAGGGACATGCGAAATGAATTATTATCGCTATAAAATGACGTGGTCTCCTTTCTAAACTCCTCGTCAGTATTGGCACATGTATTAGTGTAGCGAACCAGTGTGGTCGACACTTTGGGTTCTTCGAATATGACGTCAACTCTAGCACAAACGTCACCCACTTTATTCAGCACCATCTCATCGCTACTGACATCAATTGCGAATCGTCTACCACGTGGACCAGTCACGTTGTACTCGCACCGTACGGTGTCATCGGGCGTGTCGACTGAGATATTGAAAGTAATCACACCGGACTGCGCCGACAGATCGATGTACTGCGTCTCTTCTGAACAGTTTTTAATGGTGTCTGGAAATAAAAAAACAAAACAATATTTCAATGATTAGAACGTCTCAGCTTAGTGTCACACAACAACGTAAAACCATGTGTTTTTACTCATGGAGACAATAATTGAGAACGATCATAATATATCTTAAATATCCTCCAAATAAACCTGGATCAGTCACGTGATTGATTCTGAAAATAGTGGCACAAGTTGGCCCATTAAGGTGTTGACTATAAATTAAAGTAATAGTATGATGTAGTCCGCCATTTTGAAACGAAAAACAAAAACAGTTGCTGACAATGCATTTTAATATGCTCGCAAGTATTCTATATTTAACTGCCAACCAATGTGAAAGTTCAAAGTCTGAATAGAAATGAATTATTATGTTCATAATGCTATTTATTTGTTTGATATAATATCTACAACAAAAAAGAGGACGTTCATTTTTTATCTACATTCTGTGCGATTAACGATAAGAGCTACATGAAAACACGTTTTATGTATTAGTATATGGTGAAGTATTTAAAAAATACAAAATATTTATAAATTTACTCCACTTTTTCGTTTATTGCGAATTACATTGTTCATTAAACCGAATTTCAAAAATAATAATCAATATTTAAACTTGATCTCCATTATAGAGTTTCCAGGGTCAAATAATAACGTACGCTTCTGAAAAAATTATAGACAATATATTCATAAAAAAAATCAACAATTTCTATACGTGTACATCTTTTCTAGAGGGCACGATTTATAAGAAGTGTGTATATAATGATGCATAGAACACAAAAAACGCATCGGGATGACGACACCCTTAATTAAAATTTTGCACTACTGAGGACTTCTCCTTGTATGTAATGGGGAACTATTATCACTCTAAAAACTAAATTATATGTTTGTTTTTTTTTAATGTTGTAACAATATTATGATTCTTGTCATTTTCCATCATGACATGTTGTCCAGTGACCTTTTTTTTTATTTTTGGTATCTTGTTGGTATGAATTTATAATATTAAAAGAATATTGGACATGACACATAATCTTCAGTGTAAACAATATTCACAAAAATGACGTTATTTTAGAAGCGGTTTCCATAGACCACAAATTGAACACATGTCTTGTACGATATATTTAATTTATATATGCCACTGAGCAAAATTTTGAGATATTGCGATTGTCTTTGCAGTGGGAAACAACGGCAAAATGCATTAAAACAGACAAAACATTTCATTTTCATTCTATTTTATTGAACGATTTCCCCCGAGCTGAATACGGTGGCCCCATATTTTTAATACATTTTTTTTAATCCTTGTAATATGATATACCAAATATGTAGAAATAAAATATATGACAAAATTGCTACTTTTTTACCTTAAAATTACTTAAACCTTATTTTTAAATTAAATATTAAATATTGTAAGACTTCGTATTTGATAAGACAGTTTGATACAATTCTAATTGTCGTGGGAAATTGTGCCAATCATGATGTATAAACCAGTCGTGTCCCCATTCATATTTCAAGCCGATACAATAAGCTTTGAGAAATTATGCAGGTTGGTGTGTACCTTGTACATCGACAGGGTTTTAAGATTATTCTCATTTTGCGTATTTATATATAGTTTTTTCCCCCACCTGTGACCAGCTGTCTCTCATGCAAAGGTGTGACATGTACGTAATATTACGATGTACACTGACGAGAAGGTCAGTACTCAGCTTAAAGTGTAAACAAAAAATAATTGCGGCAATTGAACAATATCCGAAATGTTTAATGAAATTTGACGGACGTGACGAAATCAATGAAGGATCAGTATTAAAATCTCTGTTTATTTATCTGTTTGCGATTTATTTAATGTCCTGCGGGGAAACACTTAGTGCACAATTTATGCAAATTTAACATCTGCCACCGTTTCAAATAGTATAAATCAACATACTAACAACACAGAGATATGTATCACAATGAATGGACATGGTCTTCAAAAGAAACTTACAACCTAACCACAGACTTTAGGGTGTATGACGTAACCAATAACATGGATTATCACGTTGGAAACGGTAAACGCTAAATCCGCAAATGGCCGAAGCATAACGGCATAATTTGATTCGTCTAAAAAACCTGTCAACCTGAAAGTTTCTCTCTGAATAGTCGGATTGGTAGGTGTTAAGGCTGGGTAGCCAATCACACACAATCTTGCAAGTGGTTTCGCACTGACTAAATCTGCGGAGTACTACTAGATGGAGTGTCACATTTTATTTGACCTTTCACATTCGACTTTTCCCATGGGCAGTTTATATTATTTGAAAGACTTCTGGGATATATGATACATGATATATATCATCTGGCAACATATTTTTATCTATCAAAAGATATATCTCGTCATTGTTCATTTTAACTTTTACTATTTAATTTGTCAAATGCCGGATTTCTATGCAATACTATCATGTTTCTATTCGCTTCTCTCGCGCGTTATCTTGGCGGGTATGGAGTCCGAATTGTCCCATCCTGTGTTACGGTACGGGTGATATTATAGTCAGACGATCCCACATGTTTGCGCGTGTGTGTGTGTGTGTGTGGGTGGGGGGGGTTAAATAGTAAGGAGAGACTGATTGTGTGATATACGTAGTTTCTTTACGATTGAGTGCTGTCGTTACATATTTTCGGAGACTTGTAGTTGTATGCATCACGCCCCTCTGTAGATCATTTCCCCGTCCCTATTTTTAATTTGTTTGCGAGTCAAGCATAGTGAGGCCCGGTTGAAATATTTGGTCCGCCCCTAACCGATTTAATGAATACATTTGAACGTAGCCCAGCTGGCATAAACATTGGCCTATATTTGTCAGATGACATTGGCATACCCCAATCACCTTGGTGTTGTAAAATGGCCGCGGCGTTGTCAACTCTCGCCATGTGAAAGGGCGTATACTAATACAGATATGGGTAAGCTGCATTACTTCACGTGAAAGGACTCTCTACATGGGACATTAACCTCGTATCTAAATCGTCAAATTGCAAAGACCTCTTCGATCGCGAGGGCATCGACGCGATTTTTAATTACATTCATTTATCGATGTTATTTCGCTGTTACATTTTTTAAGTAATCGACAACGTCGCCTGGATTATATTCATTGTAGCGTATGGAAATATAATATAAAAAATAAAAATAGAACATCGCTATAAAATATATGAACTTTTAACCTGTTTAAAATGTCAGGGCATTTCCGAATCCCGGTGACCGACCTGGGCCAACTTGAAGGTACTAATAATCAACTCTAACAGAGAACAGTTTAATATATATATACCAGCGGTAATTGATATGTGCTGGCATCGTTCTAGAAATTGAAAGTCCACCATGAAGACGATACCACACCCCAATTTTAACATAACATAGTATAGCGTGGTCTGATGGAGCGCCTTAGTGGCATTCTTACAGAACATTTAAAATACGTAAAACGCACATATACAAACAGACACAACGAAATGTTTGTATATGTGTTTGTTTCGCCCGAGTCGTTAAACTACATACTCACTGTACAAATAATGGTGTCGCGATTCGCCAAATCCAACAAGGGTGCACATCGCCAGAACAACAGTGGTAAACCGTAAACAATCCATTGTCTACTGTTACGTCGGTTACTACTACAAACTAACAAAGAAGGAATTCGGAAGAAATGGTTCAACAGGTTGTCACATCGCCGTGACGTTCAGTGTATCTCAATACCGGGTCGACCGTTCGTCCAGCTCTCAATATGCCAGCACAGAAGTTACCGAACGAGGTGGCGTTACGTGGGAGAATTATGGCAACCAGCCAACAGCGGGCTCACACAGTCTGAGCGACGAATTGCAAGTACTATTCAGTTACCACTCCGGCACCACAATCATCGTTATTGTCACTTTTAGCGACCGTCATGGTATGAATATAGAACAGGGATTTGGGAAAAACCATTGCAGTCGAGGGGGTGTAGAGTATTAATTTCAAAATACTTGCTGGCGCAATGCTGGAGCGTGTTGTACATAGGTCATATTTAGTGGGTAATATTATATTGCTGCTTTGTCCAGGGGTGTCCGGCCATGTATGCGTGATTAATAACAACGAATATACACAAACAGATAAATAAATAAATAAATAAATAAATAAATAAATAAATAAATAAATAAATAAATAAATAAATAAATAAATAAATAAATAAATAAATAAATAATAAATAAATAAATAAATAAATAAATAAATAAATAAATAAATAAATAAATAAATAAATAAATAAATAAATAA